AGAAATTGTCACAGCCATCCCAGCCTTCAGCAGCCATCTGATCAGCCAACAGCCATCAAGATTGAGACCACACCCTCCACCAGCAAAAATATTATGACTCGCTGAAGGTTCAGATGATGGCTAGCATTTTTCAGCAATAAAGTATTATTTAAGGTATGTACATAGTTCTTTTTAGACATAATGCTGTTGCACACTAAATAGACTATAGTATAGTGTAAACATAACCTTTATATGCACTGGGAGACAAAAAGAATTCGCGGACTAGCTTTATTGTGATAATCACTTTATTGTGGTCGTCTAGAACTAAACCTGAAAAATCTTTGAGGTATGCCTGTATACTGTTTCATTGATCTTTTAGTTTACCACCTTTCCTTGCTGTAACTTTACAATAAGGCTTGATATGTGGAAGGGAAAGTCCTTCCATCTGAACTTTAAAAAAAAAGTCTTTATTTCTGGACCTTTGCAATTGCACACGAATTTTATAATCCCCTTGTTAAGTTTCACAAAGGTCTGTTAAAATTTCGATTAGATTTGAATCTGTGGTCATTGAATATATGACCTAATTTTAACAGATATTGAGTCCTCAATCCATAACTACAATTCATATCTCCCCACCTAAAAAAAAATTATTCTTCAATGTCATTGATTGGAATTTCATACATTTTCTTATAAAGGTTTCTCACATACTAGGTATCTTTCATACTATTATAAACAATATTTTATTTAATTTTCTACCTGTTTAATGTTGGTGTACAGATGTGCAATTGCTTTTTGGATATTGAATTTATGTCTAGAAAACTTGCTAGACTCATATTGGTATTTTTAAATTATTCATAGATATTTTTTCAATCTACAGGATCCCTGGCCAATATTCCTTAAGACAGTCTAGTTCATGAATACATGGAAATATTGAGAAACTATCACAGACCAGAGGAGACTGAGCCATGGCTGTCGCAAGCAATGTGGTACCCTGGATTGGGTCCTGGAACAAAAATGGAAAAAACAGAGAAATCCAAATAAAGTCTGGAGTTTACTCAAAGGTAACATGCCAATGTAGCTTTCTTAGTTTTGAAAATTTACCATGGTAATGTAATGGGATGAGGAGTATGCTGAAATTCTCTGTACCACCTTTGCAAAATTTCTGTACAGAAGTACATAAATAAAAACTAGGGCTTCCCTGGTGGCGCAGTGGTTGAGAGTCCGCCTGCCGATGCAGGGGACACGGGTTCGTGCCCCGGTCCGGGAAGATCCCACATGCCGCGGAGCGGCTGGGCCCGTGAGCCATGGCCGCTGAGCCTGCGCGTCCGGAGCCTGTGCTCCGCAACGGGAGAGGCCACAACAGTGAGAGGCCCGCGTACCTCAAAAAAAATAAATAAAATAAAAAATTTATCATGGAACATCCTAGCAATAAAAAAGAAAAACTACTAATACATGTTATAACATAAATGAGCTTCAAAGACATTATGTGGAACAAAAGAAGCCAGATGCAAAAGGATACATGCTATCTGGTTCCATTAGTAGGAAGGGCAAGAAGATTAAAAAGTAATCAAATGGTAGTGGAAGCCACAATGGTGATTGCCTGTGTTGGAGGGATATTGATTGGAGCATGTGGAAATTTTGCAGAGTCCTGGAAATATTCTATATTTTGTTCTGTAGTTGGTAACATGGTTGTGTATACACGAAAGATTTAAGATTAGTGGACTTTATGCACCTTATTTTATGTATGACAATAAAAAGCATTTTTTAAAAAAGTCTCAGCCAAGTTGTTTTGTGGGTATTTGCAAGTGATTCTAAAATTTATATGGAAATGCAAAGGGAAAAAAATAGCCAAGGTACTCGAATAAGAACAAAGTAAAGGACTTGTTTGCCAGCAAAAAGATGATTAAAATAGTGTGGTATTAGCGTAGGAATAGACAAATAGATCAACAGAACAGAGGATGGTTATAAACAGACCCCTTCATGAAAGACAGTTTATGAAGAGCTGTAAGGAAAGGATAACTTTTCAGTAAATAGTGCTGGGTCAGTTGGACTCACATAAAAAATAAAACTTGAACCCTTACTTTACATCATATATAAAATCAATTCCAGGTGGATCATAATTTGAAATGTGAAAAATAAAATAATAAAGCTTTCAGGAGATAACTTAGAAGAATATCTTCATGATCTTAGGCTAGGATAACATTTTTTAAACAGAACACAAAAAAGCAATGACCATGAAAGAACTAATTGGTAAATTAGACTTGATTACATTTAAGAACTTCTTTTATTACTGTCTGAAGAGACTGGAAAGACAAGCCACAACAAGAAGGAAAATATTTGCAACATATATAACTGGGAAAGGCCTCATATTCAGAAGATGTAACAAATTCCTTCAAACCAATTAAAAATAAAATTAAAAGACACGATCGTATAGAAAAAAATAGGCAAAACTTCAGCAGATCCATGATACAAGAGCTAATTATGTGTTATCCAAAAGGCTGATAAATTATCCATTATCCAAATGGCTAATAACTTACGAAAAAGTTCTTAACATAATTAATCATCAGAAAAATGCAAATGAAAACCACAATGAGATAATTCTACATATCTTCTAAAATGGCTACAATTATAAAGCCTGAAAATACCAAATATTAGCAAGAATGTGGAAAAAGAACTCTCATTACAGCTGATAGGGGTGTAGATTGTTACAAGTACTTCAGAAATCAGGTTTGGCATTATTTAAGTTACTGAGGTTGAAATTAGGTATGTCTTATGATCCAGCAATTACACTTCTGGGTGTGTATCTGGCAGGAATATGTGCACATAAGCAAGAGACATGTACAAGAATGTTCAAAGCAGCACTTTTAATAGCTTCAAACCAGAAACAATTTAAATGTCATCAAAAATAGAATGCATAAATAAATTGTGGCATAGTCATGCAATGAATAACTTCACAGCATGGCACAACAGCTACAGGCAACAACATGGATAACTCTTATAGCCTAATGTTGAGTGAGACAAGCCAAATACAATAGAATACACCCTGAGTGATTTGGAGGAGAAGAGAAAGAGTAGGCGAGGTGACTCTGTCAGGTTAGAATTGTCCTATTTCTTGACTTGAGTGATGCTTACGAATGCTTCCACTCCGTGATAACTCATTGAGTTGGAACAACTACCTTTGTGCATTTTTCTGTATACATATTAGGCTTCACAATTACAAAATTTTTTAAAATGCATGAACCACTTTTCAAAACAAAAACTGAAGAGTTGGAGGAAGATTTGATGAGATAGGATGCCATAGGATTTTTAATATTGGATATAATTTGATTTAAGCAGACAGCATGACAAAAACTGCTAGTGGCCCCAAACAGCCACAGAGAATGGCAGAGTGGACTAAAAGGCTCATAGAAATCCTCTAAGTACCAGATGCTTATTATTTCCCCAGAACTCTCCTTTTCTCGAATTTGTCCCCACCCCCAATACTTTTCAGAGAGCTTTATCTTGCCAGCTCTCTCCCTCTAACTGCCACCTGTCCTCTAATCTTCAGGTTTACTTCTGGAGCAATCACCTTAGTACATTCTGAGCCTGCCCTGTCCACAGCTGAGTATCCAAGAATGGACATCTCTTCTCCCTTACAGAGTAACTTACGCTAAGGAAATCACACCCATGCTGCATTTTCATAAATTAATAAGTATACATCTTAATATATGTGTTATTTTACAGTTCACCCCTCAAATGTATTGGCTTCATTTTCTTTCTTTTTTTTTTGCAGGGGGGAGGCAAACAGTCCTTTACCACATATGGTTTTATTTTATTTTATTTAACATCTTTATTGGAGTATAATTGTTTTACAATGGTGTGTTAGTTTCTGCTTTATAAAAAAGTGAATCAGCTATACATATACATATATCCCCATATCTCCTCCCTCTTGCGTCTGCCTCCCTCCCACCCCTCTAGGTGGTCACAAAGCACCGAGCTGCTCTCCCTGTGCTATGCAGCTGCTTCCCACTAGCTAACTGTTTTACATTTGGTAGTGTATATATGTCCATGTCACTCTCTCACTTCGTCCCAGCTTACCCTTCCCCCTCCCCGTGTCCTCAAGTCCACTCTCTACATCTGCGTCTTTATTCCTATCCTGCCCCTAGGTTCTTCAGAACTTTTTTTTTTTTTAGATTCCATATATATGTGTTAGCATACAGTACATGTTTTTCTCTTTCAGACTTACTTCAGTCTGTATGACAGACTCTAGGTCCATCCACCTAACTACAAATAACTCAATTTCATTTCTTTTTATGGCTGAGTAATATTCCATTGTATATATGTGCCACATCTTCTTTATCCATTCATCTGTTGATGGACACTTAGGTTGCTTCCATGTGCGGGCCTCTCACTGTTGTGGCCTCTCCCGTTGCGGAGCACAGGCTCCGGACGCGCAGGCTCAGTGGCCACGGCTCATGGGTCCAGCCGCTCCGCGGCATGTGGGATCCCCCCGGACCGGGGCACGAACCCGTGTCCCCTGCATCGGCAGGCGGACTCTCAACCACTGCGCCACCAGGGAAGCCCTCAATACATTTTTTTTTAACTGAAGTCAGAGTTGATTTACATTGTTGTGTTAGTTTCTGGTGTACAACAAAGTGATTCAGATAGACAGATAGATATAGAGAGATATAATATAGGTTATTACAAGATATTGAATATAGTTCCCTGTGCTATACAGTAGGACCTTGTTGTTTATCTATTTTATATACAGTAGTTTGTATCTGCTAATCCCAAACTCCTAATTTACCCTTCCCCTACTCCCTTTCCCCTTTGCGAATCATAAATTTGTTTTCTATATCTGTGACTCTTCAGCACATTTCTTAATTTCAGCCCCGCCCTCCCATTATGAAGAGCATGGGACCTAGAATCAAGCCTGTGTGGAAATCCGGGCGTCACTGCTCACAGGCTTGTGGGAGTTCAGGCCGACGCCCCAACTTTCTGAGTGTCCCTTTCCTCATCTGTAAAATGGGACAATGCCTAATTGCAGATGACGAGGATTAAATGGAATCAATGGAATCAAATACAATGGATGGCAGAGTGACTGACAGTGTGGGGAGAAATAAATATCCATTCTTCCTCCGGCACTGAACTCGGACATTTCAAAAGTTTTACAGAAATGACCATCAGGCCCGAAGACCAGAATCACTCTTCAGTGTGCGTGGCTCACGCTCCCTTTACTGGAGGGAGGTTTTCCCTGCAGCAGTAATCTCGTTGGTCGCGGCGGTGGAGAGTCTCAGATTGTCAGAGCAGCGAGCCTGAGGAGCTGGGACTAGAAGTCGCGGGCCCTCCCCTCTCCCTGGCGTCCGGCCCGGGCTGCGGCGGGACGCGGCTCCGCCTCCCCGGCCGCCCCGCCGACCCGAGCGCGGCGCGCAGTGGGAGCTGGGGCCCGGGGCGCCGAGGGGAGGCCGCGCTCCCACCGCCCGCGGCCCGAGGGGGCGTCGGACACTACCGGCCGCCCGCGGAGATGTGACCCGGCCCCGCCGCCCATGTGCGCCCCCCGACCCCCAGCGAAGACGGCTGCCATAGGGGCCCCGGCACCCGGCCTCCCGGCCCTGCCGCTGCTGCTGCTGCTGGTGGCCGCGCCAACGGGACGGGCAGGTAGGAGGGTAGCGCCGGGGCCGCGACGACCGCCCAGTTCCGGCTGGTTTAGGCCCTCCAGCCCCCGGGTTTCGCTTTCAAGCGCGCAGAGCGGGAGGAGCGCGGGTCAGCGCCGGGAGCCCTGGAGTCCCAGGGAGAAACTCGCCGCTGCGTCGCGTGGGCCGGCTTCAGGGTCAAGTTCGCGCGCTCCGCGTTTCACACTTTTCGTTGCGGGCGAGGTAGAGGAAGGTTGACGGTGGTCGCTCCGAGCGGTCCCCACAGCTGGTAACTTACGGTCGGTGACAGTGACCTTTCGCATTGCACTCGCCGGCACGTCGCAGGTTCCCGCCACCCAAGCCGTGGCCGCACAGACCTGTAGCCTTTCAACAGAGCACCCCAGGGAAGGAGGCGATGTCTGCGCTTTAAAAATCAAACTTCCTGAAAGAGTGGGCTTTGAGGGAACCGGAGCTAGAAAGTGCAGCGTTTCTAAAGTAAGATCTTTCTGGGCACGTCATTTTTTTCCTTTGCAGTTTTGATCTTGTACATATATGTGCTCTTTGATTTCTTTGCAAGTAACAAAACTTTGAACTGATCCATGATATAGGTAACTCAAGGCTTTTTGGTTTTAAGTGTTAACTCTCTACCATCTGGAATCCAGTAAACCAGAATGATTCATTAACCTGATTTCTTTTTTTTTTTTTTCCTTCTGCATTTCTGGTGTATGAGAGAAAGAAATTTTTTAAAAGCAAGATATCTAGGACCCTCCTTTTTTAAAAAAAAAAAAAAAAGTTAAAGCAACACAACTTCCCAGAATACTGTGCTTTGTACAGATTTGATCCAGGCTTCCATGTTTTTATCCCAGAGCTGAACAATAGCAGTGAATGCAGGAAGAAAGTTGTTCATGAAACTGCGGTGTCCTTAGTAGTCAAAGAAAAAGTTACTAAAGTTCAATACAGTTACAAAGGTAAGAATTGTGTGCATATAGATCTTGGAGAGATTTTTGGACAATAGACATTATACACAAAAAGTTTCTCTTCTAAATCCTAAAGTTACCAGAAATTGTAGTTCTTTTGTCTTGTGATAAATATTCTTATGTAAGCTGAATGGGAAGATCTGCTCCTGACCTATCCAGATACTGAACCTCAACTAACAGATATGAATTTAGTTGTTTCTGTTTCTAATCAAAGAAATAAAGCTTGCTCCTTAATTGGGTTGGGAGGCTGACATTAGAAGGTAATTATATTCTTGGCTTCAAAGCAAAATTGGGGAAAAAACAAAACAGAAGAAACTCTTTTCGGACCCACGAGACTCAGGTACTTTCTTAGCTCTTCTTAAAGAGTTCCTGTCCTCTTCTGGGCCTCCAGGCACCCTGAGGACTGCTGAGAAAACCAGGTGAGAAGGCATATGTGGTTACATGGTATGTGGTTACATACCTGGCTCTTAAGAGAGAGCTATTCTATCTTGATTGATCCGCCACCATATCTGCTGAGCAGTGTGAACCTTCTAATAGTTATATGACATTACCATTCTCCAGTAGGCGAATTCTTTAATTTTTCGAACTTTTAGCACAAAAGTTCGTAGTCACACAACTCTGTGATTGGATCAGGCTATACAATACCAAACATCCAAAGAGAAAGAAAAAAAAATTCAATGGGGCATCAACATTTTAGGAAAGTTCTTCGTAGTTCATTTCAGGTAAACTTTTAAAGGAATCCAGAACATCTGTGCCACTCCCTCAAGGCAGGAGGGATACACATCTGTACCTTCACTCTCTTATGTCTCCAGGGACAGAAGTTTCACTAGGAAGTTTATCACTGTGGTTTATCAAACTCTGCCCTGTTGGCCCAATCCCATGTCTTATTCCTCAGTGAAGATAAAGAACCGTGGTCAGCATAATATAAACAAGCATTTAAAGCCAGTAAGAGAGTGGAAGGAGATGACTTTCCAAGGTCATGTATCTCTTCTCCTCAAGCCCTTCAGAGGCTTCCATCTGAATTCTCCTACGTGGTCTTATACGGCTCAGTCCTGCCTGTGTCTCCAGCCTTACATCACTTAATTCCTGCTATCCTGGCCTTTTTCCAGTTCCTAGAGCAAACCAAACCGTTTTCCCTCTCAGGACTTCATACTTGCAGTTCCTTGTGCTGGAATGTTCCTGTCCACTCTGTCCCCGGCTAACTCCTATTCAGACTTGGCATCTCACCTCCAATGTGCGTCCTTCAAGGAGATCTTCCCAAAATCCCCAGAGAGGGAAAAAATATTGTTTATTATGCCTATGAACAAATGAGCCAAACTCTAGGTTTGGAGCTTTTGAATGCAGTCTATTACAGCATCTCTACTTATTAGAACTAATATACTATAATTAACAGAATGAGGGTATTTGTTGAAGTGTGTCTTCTTTGATATGAACACAACAGCATCAGGTATTTTATTTCACTGAGAAATTATTTCAGGATATTTTTCAAACACACACAAATTATCCCAGTGAACTAATTAAATTTTCTTCATTATTTTATTCTTTTTAGCTTTTAATTTTGAACTATTCTGAGACTTACAGAAAAGCTATAGAAATAATAGAGCTCTCATAAACCCCTCACCCAGTTTCTCTTAATTTTAACATGTTACGTAACTGTGGTACAGTGTTCAGAATGAGGAAATTAACATTGGTATAGTATTGACACTATTCACTAAACTATAGACTTTGTTCCAATTTCACCCTTTTTTCCACTAATTCCCCTTTTCTGTTCCAGGATCAATCCAGGGTCCTTATTACACTTAGTTGCTCTGTCTCCTTCCTCTCTTCCAATCTATGACAGTTCCTCAGCCTCTCTGCTTTCATGTCTTTGACATTTTTGAAGAGCTCTTATCACCTCCTCCTCAGGCTGCCCCTCAATGTGGGTTCATTTGAAGTTTCCTCTTGATTAGAGTGAGGTTATTCCTTTCGGGCAATAATACCACAGAGATTATGTTGTCTTTCCCAGCGCATCATATCAAAGGGTTTATGATGTCAATGTGTCTTCTTCCTGGCGATGTTAACCTTGATCATTTGGTTTAGGTGGTGTCTGCAGGGGTTTTCACTGTATAGTTACTATTTTCACTTTCTGATTAATAAATACATTGTGGGAAGATACTTTGAGATCATGCAAATATCCTGTTTCTCCTCAAACTTACACCCACTAATTTAGTATTCATCAGTGGATACTGAATGCAACAACTATGATGCCTAATGGTGATTTTTTTAATTTCATTTTTTCCTTCTCTATTTATTAAATTGGAATTCTAATGCAAAGAAGAGCATTTACTTCTCCCCCATTTATTTATTTATTCAATTGCTTAAATATATCAATATGGACTCATAAATATTTACTTTATTCTTTGAGTTATAATCCAATACTATTATTATTAATTTTGCTGCTCAAATTGTTCCAGCTTTGGCCATTAAAAGCTCTTTTAGTTTGGCTCCCATGTCCTTTCAACAAGCCCCATTCTTTTTAAGCATTTCATTGCTTTCTAGCAACATAAAATGTTTCAGGTTCATCTTGTATTTTCCCTTCCCCAGGGCTGAATCAGCTACTTCCCCAAGGAGCTCTAGCTCCTTCTACTGGAGAATAGGATCTAGAAACCAAAATCTAGTTGCCAGGCATACTCATTGCTACTGGAATGTTGTTTCTAGGCTCTCTCAGCGGAGAGAGCTGGAAGTTATAAATATGTATACTAACCCAGGCATCCACACACATCTGTATTTCTGTATCTATATGTATGTGTCTATGTATACAAAAGACAATAAGCTTACACTGATACCTCTGATTCCAAGAGCACAGAGTTCATTGTCTTTATTTGTAGCTTCTTTCTCCAACAGTGAGAAACCTGATATCATTATCTATAATAGATTTACTTATTTCTTCATTTCTAGTTTAGAGTTTCAGAAGTATTAACCCATGCTTCTATGAGAAGGACATTTACTAACTAGATTATAGCATCTATATACAGTTCTTTTGTCTTTAGCTTTATAATACCCAGTCAAGATACTGTTGACCAAAGTTACTTAGATTAGACCGGTTTTCTTTCACCTTCTTTACTTTATTGTCTATTTGTAATAAGGTTAGGTTCATTTGTTACTGTTTGTATTTCAGTTGGGGTTTCCCACATGCTAGTTGGTTTTGTTTCTTGATTTGGGAGTATTTGAAGGGTATGTGAGACATTACTGTAGTTTAAGAGTCAGAGAGAGATGTACCAAATGGTACACTTGGAGAGGGGTTGCCCCCTCATCATCCTTACAATCTGGTTCCTATTCTCATTCCACGTCACCCCCGTAGGTAACCAGTCTCCTTAGTTACTGGTTTATCCTTCCTGTATTTCTTTTGCACCAGTGAACAGATAAGTGTGTATTTTCTCATATTCCCCTTCTTTCTCACATGAAACCTAACATACTACAGGTTCTCTTTTCCACTTAGCATTTTTTCACTTAACAGGATATGTCTTTTCTGCTTCACAAATCTGTAATCCTCAAAGGTAGGCCCTGACTATACCGGCCAAATTCATATCAAGGCTAAATCGTTTCCAAATCTTGCTTCAACTTCGCAGGAAAGCACCTGGTTTTAAACATATTGTATGCTAAAAGTCGAGAACTTGGTCTACATCTGGGTGCTCTATTGCAGCTAAAGCAGGATTTGTCTTCTCAAATGTTCTTTCCATCAAACAAGCTTGTCCTCTTTTCCAGCTTCTCTCCCATTCCCTTTGGAGCAGACATGAGGGATTTCTTGTACATTTGCATGTACATTTATCATTTATTGGCTATTATATAGCTCCTCATTGATCAGCTCGAAGCCCATCCTCAGCATGTCTGGAGAGCATCATATACCTGAGATCTGAGCGTGTGGCTATAGGTATCACCAGCCTCCCCTTTCGGAAGATGTGCTCCTACTGCCTGTAGCTATTTATCCAGCTTCCTATAGAACAAACCCAGGAAAGGCAGAATTTGCTCCCTAGAGAACAATAAAGGAGATCTGTTACCCACAGGAGGTGGCATGGTGTACGACCAAGGCGGTAGGGCTGAGGAGGGGCGTCAGTTCCCTGAGTGCACCATTCCATACAGCTCTGACTCAGAGCCATAGGTAGGATGCAGATTTTGCATTTAAGCCTAAACTTTAGACAAAGACAATAAGCAGTCACATATATTTTAAATTTTTAGTATTAATGCTATAAAACTAATACTTTAGTATAAGCATCTCATAAAACGTTATGAGCATAAAACATTAACTATGTTTAAGTGCTTGGCATAGTGCTTTTCACAAATGTCACTCAGTAAATTTGCCTTTTTGGTTAAAAGGCATCTTTCATTATATGCATGATTTTTTTTTTTTCTTTTTGGCTGTACGCGGGCCTCTCACTGTTGTAGCCTCTCCCGTTGCAGAGCACAGGCTCCGAACGCGCAGGCTCAGCGGCCATGGCTCACGGGCCCAGCTGCTCCGTGGCATGTGGGATCTTCCCGGACCGGGGCACGAACCCGTGTCCCCTGCATCGGCAGGCGGACTCTCAACCACTGCGCCACCAGGGAAGCCCTGCATGATACTTTTAAACTGACTCTCTACTTGCATCTTTTTCTTCATGTACAATTTTACCAGGTATCTTTGACATGTTTACTTCCATGATGATAAAAAAAAAGACTGCTAAGTATTAACTGCAGCTTAAGGTAGTATATATTTTAAGAAGTGAAATCATTTTATTCATCTTATTTATAACATTACCTTTATGCTATGATTGTGATGTTCTGACAGCATTTTTACTTTTTCTTGCTCCACATTTATGATTATTTGACTCAAAAGGTGATACTAGAAAAATGAATTAAATCTCTATAATCTGTCTCAAGATGTGTCAGTTCCATATAAAATTGGAGAACAAGAGAACTTTTTTAAAAAAGAATGCTGGCTGAAGACAATACAATTAAATACTTCCTCTGCTTTATTTTCAGAATTCCTTTTGATATAGAAAACTAGGCTTGAAAGGGCCTTAAAATCCCGTCCAACTGCTTCCCTTGTGAATGTTCCCTGCAACATAACTTCAGAGTCATTACCTATCTGCTGTTGGAGCACCTCTCATCACAAGAAACTTGATACCTGACACCCAAGACAGGATGTCCTGTCGTTGTAGACTTCCAGCTACTAGAATGTTCTTCCCATGAACCAGCTGAGGTCTTGATCTCTCATCTTGTCACATTGTTGGTCCTCACTCTAAGCTGATGCAGTCATGCAGAACAAGCTGCTCAGCTCATTGACTGCAACCATCACATTTCCTCTGTCTTCATTCGTCTCAGCTAAGCACCTTCCCAGTTGTGTCATGCCAGGCGTCTCTCTCTCCTGGTCTTTTCTGTATGTGTGTGTTCCAGATTGTCTGTAAGTTCTCAGGCATACTCACTGTAGATCATGATGACATGGCTGGTCTGCCAGATTGTAATCACTGCCCCTGGCATGTTGGTCCTTAAGTGATTCAGTATCAGTTTCCTGGTGAACAAAGGGTTCCTGATGCCTAAAAGTTACCCTCCCTTTTTACCTTTGCTGTCTTTTCCTATAAGACACAGACCTTGACCCCTCATTTAAACTCAGCATTTCATATTAATACAATTTCAGTTTGTGGAGGCAATTTTCTTTCTCTTTACTTCTCAGAATACAGAGAATGGAAGTATGGTATGATTTTTTTTTTTTTTTTTTGCGGTACGCGGGCCTCTAGCTGTAGTGGCCTCTCACCCGTTGCGGAGCCCAGGCTCCGGACGCGCAGGCTCAGCGGCCATGGCTCATGGGTCCAGCCGCTCCGCGGCATGTGGGATCCTCCCGGACCAGGGCACGAACCCGTGTCCCCTCCATTGGCAGGCGGACTCTCATCCACTGTGCCACCAGGGAAGCCCGGTATGATGTTTTATCTAGAGCACATGATGTCCGTCACGGTGGACTTTAACGCAATTAAGGAGACTCTTCTGGAAAGGAAATTTTTATTGATTACAAATATTATCTATTCAAAATCAGATCTGTTTTTCAAGTGTGGTGGTCACCACAGTGCACGTTGAGACGCCAAAATGGCTTCCACTCAGCTTCTCCAAGCACTTTATGCACCGCATCATCGAACTCCAGCTCCACCCCCCGGCACAGAGAATGGGCAAACCTTGTCCTGTACAGATTTGTCAGGGAGTTTTCCTTATACTTCTTGAGTCTCAACATGTATGCCTTTAATCCAGCCCCCTGAAATTTTCCATTCCATACCATTAACATTTGTATTTTGGTGATATGAGATATTTTGGCAACTGTATCCTCTTAGTTGAAGCGTTTGTTTACATTACTTCCGCCATTTGAATTTCCTCTTTTTCAACTTTGCAGACATTTTTTTTTCTCCTACTTCAATCCCTCCATCCTTACTTCCAGGTTACTTGGCAGCCCTTAAAGCATTCACGCTTCTGTTAAATAAACATTGTGTTCATTTTCGAGGAAAGATACAAGGAACAGACACCTACTACGTTACTTTCCTGAGGCTGCCATAACAAAGTACCACAAACTGGGTAGCTTAAAATAACATAAATGTATTATCTCACAGTTCTGGAAGCTAGAAGTCTGAAATCAAGATGTTGGCAGGGTTGCTTCCTTCCGAAGGCTGTAGGGGAGCATCTGTTCCACGCCTCTCTCCTGGCATCTGGTGGTTGCTGGCAATCCTTGGCATTCCTCGGCCTGTTGAGCATCATTCCAATCCTCTGCCTTCACTCACTGTTCTCTGTCTCTTCACATAATCTTCCCTCTGTGCATGTCTCTCTTTGCGTCCAAATTTTCCGTTTATATAAGGATACGAGTCATGTTGGATTGAAGCCCACCCTAATGACCTCTTTTTAACTTGATTACCTCTATAAAGACATTATATCTAATTAAGGTTACTTTATGAGGTACTGGAGACTAGGATTTCAACATATTTCTTTGCGGGGCCACGGTTGAATTTATAACACCTACCACACCCTCAGCGGCTTGTAGGGCAGTGAGCAGGACTTGAGCTTGGCTTCTAAAGTGGAGAAAAGCTACCTTTTCTTTCTTTTTTTTTTTTTTCCGGTACGCGGGCCTCTCACTGTTGTGGCCTCTCCCGTTGCGGAGCACAGGCTCCGGACGCACAGGCTCAGCGGCCATGGCTCACGGGCCCAGCCACTCCGCGGCATGTGGGATCTTCCCAGACCGGGGCACGAACCTGTGTCCCCTGCATCGGCAGGCAGACCCTCAACCACTGCGCCACCAGGGAAGCCCGAAAAGCTACCTTTTCAACCTCATGCAGTTTTCCTCCTCAACGCATTTATTAGTCTTTGTCCACTGCCAAAAGGAAACCTTTGCAGAAGTCTCACGTCTGAAAGGCTCTCCTGAGAATGTAAAGGGCAGAGATGAGTCGTCTCCTGTACTTTCCATAACATGAACATAAAAGATAGCCACCATTTTGCAATATGTACAAACATGGAATCATTATGTTGTACACCTTAAACTAATACGTTGTATGTTCATTATACCTGTTTTTTAAAAAGGAGAGAAACGTCAATGGGTATGTAATAAAGATGGTGGAGTTTAAATTTCTTCAGCAGAGGGGTTCACTCTCGTCAGACCTCCATCTCTGTTGCTCTACGTGGCACGTTCATTGCAAAATCTTCACCCTTGCTCCAGCATGGACCATTTTCGTACTTGAGGCTAACTGTCCACGTGACTCCAAGTCAGCCCTCCTCCGCCATTTTAGATGAAAGTATAAAAGAAGTAAAAGGTCCTCTGAATTATCCTACCGAATGCTTTACGTTGTTATTTTTTAAATTTGCTGATAGTTTTTAGGTGCAAAATAGAATATCACATGTGCCTTAGGAGCAAATAACTTAGGGGAATGAGGTATTTGAGATGGTCAGAGTTAATGAAAAAGAATTAACCTTCACACCCCACACATTCATTTTGAGTTTTCATAAGTTAAAATACAACTTGACACAATGTGATTTTTAAATAACCTTCTTTTGAGCATTTTTCATTTATTCATTCTTTCTTTCATTTATTCAATATCTTTCATTCATACGTATCAGGAACTGTTCTCGGTATTGAGGTGAACAAGAAAACAGGGCCTCTTTCTTCGTGGAGCTTTTAACTTCGGGTGATTACATCAAAGTATAAATGCCAGAACTGAGGAAACCAAGCTTCTTGAGAAGCACAGAGCAAGGCAACGGATCTAATCTAGGAGTCAGGCAGGGCTTCCTATGAAAAGGGAAAGTGAGACTTATGAGAATTGCCAATATACTTTTTACATTTTGCATTTAAAATGCTAGCAAGAAAATAAAGTTAAATCCTTCTCTAAGCATATTCTATCTATAAACTACCACGTAGTTAACATTCCTTTTTCCCACCTACATTTCTTTCTTGTAAAACTACAAATCAACCAACAAAACCCAACAGCAAAAAGCAGAATCCTATGAAACAGGTGATTTTTTTTCTGACAATGGTATTTATTGCCGGGTGGGTGGGAGTAAGGAGCTTTGCAGCTGTAGGACAGCCCGACCTCAAGGTCACTGACAGCTTCAACAGGTCACTGTGGTCTGCGGCTCTGTGCAACACTGAATCCAACCACAAACAGGTATCAAAAGGCTCCCTTGTTACAGCTGTGGTTTTCTAGAGGGCTGGTGCCCGAGGCGCACTTTCTCACTTCCTGAATCAACACAGTCCTTTGAAGGCTCTGTTAGCTTTAACAGCAAGAGCAAAGGGAATGTCTTCATTGATCCATTCTCTGAGAGGTTCCAGTGTCGTCAGAGCCTTTGGCTCTTCGTGGGTGGCCTCTTCACCGTTGCTCTGCTTTTATCCTGACCAGTGTGTTTTAATATCTTTGTGGTAGGATAACCACCTCAGAGAGCTGATCTTCAGCGAGCCCCGCGCAGCACGTGGATCCCCTGTCCATTTTATCACATTTAGTTACACAACTTCATTGAGGCTTAATTCAACCCTGAAGAGGTGTGATCCGAGCCCCCGTCACCATCAAAAACATCAAAGCATGGACTTGTCACTGTGGAGGAGAGCTAACCTATTGAAAAATATTGCACCTTTTTGACAGTGGTCTTGAGGGCTGCTGTACACCTCTGTCTTCATCTTGTTTGACTGGAAAGTCTGAGATCACACTCTCAACCTCGTTTGCCTCAAAATCCCAATCGACGGCCAAGAGAAGTAAATACTACTAATTACTTCCAAATCTCCACTAAGTCATTATTTTTGTCTCTCTTACTTTTTCTATGAATTTTTTTCTCACATTTTTATCTTGATTTTCTCTCTGAAAATTTCAAGTGAT